AATTTATGGATTATATTTATAGACTTACATATAGATTTACTTGTTATATTTATATAGATTATACTTATAAATATATTTATACAGATTTTTATCTCCTTGGAGAATGTAAGCAGAACAATTTTACAGTGTGTGACTCTTTTTTCTATTTTATTGTTTTGTTTAATTTTTTAAAGTTTGTTTATTTTGGGAGAGAGAGAGAGAGACAGAGTGTGTGTGTGTGTGTGTGTGTGTGTGTGTGTGTGTGTGAGTGGGAGAGGTGCAGAGAGAGAGGGAGAGAGAATCCAAAGCAGGTTCCACACTATTAGCAAAGAGCCCAATGGGAGGCTCGAACATACGAACCATGAGATCATGACCTGAGCCAAAGTTGGGCGCTTAACCAACTGAGCAACTCAGGAACCCTGACTGGCGCCTAACTTAAACTGTTATTTCTGTGGCTTCTTTTTGCTAGCTTTTCTCTTCTCATGTACCTGGTACATGAAAAATTACTTGCAAAAATAATGTAGGTCTAGGATGACTCATCCTCCTGCAGAGATTATTGCCATTTGCTTTTCCAGTCCCCTGTAGACATTAGAAATTGGGGATCACTTTCATCCAGGGGCAGACATTTTGGTCATTGCATGACCCCAATACTGTGTGCTAGAGGTATTGTTAGAGGAAATACAGCATACTCTGCAAGCTCACAGAAGGATCCAACCCTGCTTGGCTTTCCAGAGAAGGTGAAACCTGACAGAGGGATCATAGATTGACTTCTCCTCTCCTTGTCCAGCATGGCCTGGAAACACTTCTTAAAAGATGGCCAATTTGCTTCGGGTTATTTCACAGGCAATGGAATGGTGGTGGGTGGTAGATTTGGAACTCAGACACATTTGGCATCAACTTGAAGATTGCCCAAGTCAACCTTGGTTTCCTAATCTATAAATTGGGAGGAAATATCATGTGCATTATGAGATTATGAGAATTCAGTGTAATGTCACCTGTAAAACACTTCATGAGATGTTTGTCACATATAAGGGGTAGATAAATATTCAACCCCTTCTTATGTTTGTGTCTAAACCCAGTTTATCTTGGTGGCAAAATCCATTCCTTTCCCTACATTAGAGAATCATAATTTGGGAAACTGGGAAATTGAGGGCTTTTCCCTACGGCTAGAAATGCTTTGAAACTGAACCCCAGGCACTGACTTATCTGATTCAACTTTGTGCAGCAATTTGCAAGACAGCCAGCTACAGTGTTGGGGCAGAGATGTTCTTGCTGGGGAACAGAGCAAACCATGGCAACCATGGGAATGAGGAGCCAATCTTCTGATTCAGACATCCATTGTTTTCTTGGACGAGATGCAAAGATGTTGGAGGCAAGAGACCGATTATACTGCAACCCTCCCTTGACTCCTCAGCTGATTCTCATAGAGGTTCATTTGAATTAAGGAACTTAAAATACAGGCATGCCATGCCAACTTGGTCGCACCCTACTGCTTGTCAAGCCTATCAATTTTTTTTTTTTTTTTTTTGTCTTTGGGATGGGTGGTTATGATCTATTTCCCTCCCAGTTGAGATCTGCTGAGAAAAAGGAAATGGGACAGGCATTTTGGTAACATCCACCGACAGGTAAAATATGCCCAGTCAACACTTCTCCTTCTTGAATCTATCACAGAATCACATGTGTAAAAGTTGGGGGGGGGGTGCAGACACATTCACTACGGATTTGTGAAAAACTGGAAAACGTTGGGAATTCCCACTAGTTGGGAATGGCTAAGAACTATAATATAGCCACACTGGGGAATATTTTTATGCAGTGGCTAGAAAGAGTAAGGTAAATCTGTATTGTTTACTAGGATAGATTTCTGGTACATCATTGATTGAAAAACACTCAAGTGTAACAACATGTACAGAATAATATCTTTTATGTACTAATATCTAGCAAAACCATCCCACAAAATAATGCTTCATATTTTCCATGGGTACATATCTGTGTATGTAAAACCATAGAAAGAGGCTTTAAAGAGTTGAAAGACCACCCCCAACCAAAAAAGGTAACAGTGGATACATCCAGATAAAAAGGGGATAGATTTAAGGGAGGGTGGTCTTATCTCTGGTATTTGAAGGTTTTATTTAAAAAGATAATATCTTTGGAGCGCCTGGGTGGCTCAGTCGGTTGAGCTTCCGATTTCGGCTCAGGTCATGATCTCACGGTTCATGAGTTCGAGCCCCGCATCAGGCTCTGTGCTGATGGCTCAGAGCCTGGAGCTTGCTTGGGATTCTGTGTCTTCCTCTTTCTCTGCCCCTCCCCCACTCATGCTCTGTCTGTCTCTCTCTCAAAAATAAACTTAAAAAAAACATTAAAAAAATTTTAAGATAATATCTTTGTCTATCACTTACATAATGTAAAGTTAAATTTTAAAGGTAGAATGGAAATATTATGATTGAGGGCATGGTAAGCTGTAATATTGTCCAAAAAAAATATCTGCTGCCCCTCTCTGGGGAGGATGAGGCTTCTCTGTGCTATCAATGTCAGACTTGCTCTGGCCAATGAAAGGAGAATGGAAGCTTGAGGAGTCAGTGTGTGATTTGCTGTGCTCTTTTCTCCTCTGCCACAAGACTGGAGACATATCAGAGAGAGGCGGTCCCATCAGCCTGGATCCTGGAGTAGACAAATGTGGAGCGGAGCCCCAGCCAACCTGTGAAGGCCATGCAACGTGTAATGGGAGCAAGAAATAGACCTCTGCTATTATAAGCCACCGAGACTGTGGGGACCACTTGTCACTGTGGCAGAACCTAACCTAGACTAGCCCAGAGAAGCCCAGGGACAACAGAGAGTAAGCAGCCACTCTGGAGCAGAGAGGGAGACAAGGTTTGGGGTCAGAAAGGCCTGGAGGTCCCGGGTGGGGGTGAGGAGGACCCCAAGGAGGACACTGAAAGGGAAGTAGACCAAAAAGCAGCAGATGCTAATTTTGCCCATTTTTCAACTTTGCCTTAGGACCTCGTCCTCAATTACCCCCCGACCAATGAGAGCACTTTGGGATGCGACATGTTGCCCTTTATCAGATGGCACTTGCCCTAGGCTAACTGGCAGATCTTTTCAGGGATGTCCTGGCAGATTACTGAGAAAACAGTTGCAGAGCGTCCAGGTTTAATGGTATACATAGGTGCCCACCTCCCCTGAGCTGGTATTAGCTGGGCACCTCAGCTGGAAAGGCCCATGATGACCAATTCCAAAGTCATTCAGACTTCAAGAAAGCTACAGTTGAAAAAACAAAGGAAACCAGGAGGCAAAACACCTAGCTTCTTCAACATGACTCAGATCAGACAGGAGCCGGCACCTAGGTGGATGGCAAATGACTCAAATAAGGTCATGTGGCTCAGTTGTGTCTTTTAATCCTGAATGAGGAGGAAAGGAATGAGCTAGTGGGTCATGGGGCACATCAGAAAAGGGGTGTCATCAGTTGGATCAGGGTTACAATGCACAGCACCTGGCCAATCACGTGGCCTTGAACCTTACCACAAAGAGACAGGAAGTGAGCAATGTTATTAATGATTCTGAGCCTCAGTGTCCTCATCTGTAAAATAGGCTTAAGAGTATCTACTTTGGGGACTCCTGGGTGGCTCAGTTGGTTAAGCATCTCTTGGTTTTGGCTCAGGTCATGATGTCATGGTTCGTGGGTTCAAGCCCCACACTGTCAGTGCGGAGCCTGCTTGCGATTCTCTCTCTCCCTCTCTCTCTGCCCCTCCCCAGCTCCCTCACTCTCTCTCTCTCTCTGAAAATAAATAAAATAAAACTTAAAAAACAAAGAATACCTACTTTGTAGAATTCACATGAGGAACACATGAGCTTGTTGGGGGGACCATAGCTGGTGTATTAGGTTAAGAATATGCAGATTATGACCTGCTGAGTGAGGAGGTGTGAGCCTCCCTTGTAGGGTGGGCAGGCAGCTCCCTCAGTTTCCTAGCTCCGATCTTGGGGATGTAGAAACCTGGGGGTCTTTTTGATTGAAGGCGCAGTTTCAACATGCTCACACAAAGGTAGTAAAGTCTCAAGATTTATTGCTTATAGATTCCAGAAATGGGGTTGTGATGTACAATGAGCCAAGTCCTCTGTTTCAGGTCTCGAGTGAGCAGGAGAGAGAGAGCAGGGTAGTAAGCACCTGCTACTGATAAGGTGGCTGTGGCAGAGGTCACTAACTTCTTGTGGACTCAACCCTACATGGCTATTTTTAAAGGTGGCCCAGGAAAAGTAGAGTGGGAACTTACAGCAAGAATCCTAAGCTCCAGGTTCTTATCTGAATGTCTAGCCTGTGAGTGTGAGCAGGGCTGTCGTGCTGCAAAATGCCAGGGTAACAGCTCGAAGCAACTGCTTTCTTATCACAGGGCAGTGGAAATTCAAAGCCAGAGGTTCTTCCAGCCCCAAAAACGTAACTGACTCATCTCCCTTGGGTATGGTCCTCCACTGGTTCACACACCCCCTGCCATCCCACAGTAGGAGAGCTAACCACCCAACTCCCCAGAAGGCCAGCTCAGTCAGAGGCAGCATAAAACAATGAAGGCCACATTCCAGGAGAGGAGCCTACCCAGACTCAGCTCAGAGACCTATTCTAGAAGGGACCATGCTCCTCAGATCCCAGTGCTGCCCAACAGCTGAGGGGCCACCAGACGAGGTGCTTTCAGTGAATGGTTCCTAATTCTCCAACAAAGACAACTGCTGGTCTCCTGCTGTGAATGGATTGAGGAGCCACCAGATGGGATTCCTCTTTGCCCCATGTTTCAGCACGAGCATTCAACTGAAAGCCAGTTAAGGTCATGCATGGGGGTCTCTGTGCAGTAGACTTGGATCTTGGCCTATAAAAGCTGCTAGTCAACCTGAAGACCAGGTAGGGCCAGCCTGGGAACCTGGGCCATCCATTTCATTGGAATTTTTTTAAACATTTATTTATTTTTGAGAGAGACAGAGACAGAGTATGAGCGGGGGAGGGGCAGAGAGAGAGGGAGACACAGAATCTGAAGCAGGCTCACAGAGCCTGATGCGGGGCTCAAACTCATGAACCGCGAGATCATGACCTGAGCTGAAGTCGGACACCCAACCGACGGAGCCACCCAGGCGCCCCTTCATTGGAATTTTTATTCCTCACGGACAAGTGGCCAACTTGTTGAGTGGTCCTTGACATCCCTTGCCACATCCAAGTACTCTGATTCAGAGTTCATTTAGCTTCTGTGGTAGAGTAAGCATTGATGTCCACCCAGCAGAGTTGGCACTGATGTCCACTCAGTAGAGTAAGCATTGATGTCTACTGTAGAAGAGTGAGTGTTGATATGAGGAAAATATTCTCTCCTTCCCTCATGCTCAGTCCAAGCACTGGGTGGAGTTGATCCCATCCTTCACTCCAAGGCCAGTATGGGACTTGGGCCTGGCCAGTCACAACATTCCATTCCCTTAGTTGTGGCACCTGGACACACCACCCAAAATGCCCACAGAGCTATTGAGTTACAACGTGGTTTCTTCTGGGATGGCTGAGAATGAGGCAAGTCTATAAGGACGGACTTGACTCTAGAGAATGTAAGTATGGAGCTGCTCAGGGCCACCCATATGCAGAGGTGAAGGTGAAGTAAATGCAGAGGAGAAGAGAAGGCAGCTGGTGGCATCGTCTGAGTTCTTAGATCAAACCATACCTGATTTATCCTTGGAATTCATAGCTACATCAACCAATACATTCTTTCTCTGATTTAGGCCAATTTGAGTTGGTTGTGTGTCTTCAGATAGAAATCGTTTTTGCTAATACATCTTCAGCCCTTTGGCTCCTTTGACTCCAGGAGATCCAGAGCTCCCTGGCCAGATGGCTCTTGGCTATCTTCATCAGCCTCTAGGTGCCACCCACTATGGAAAACCTATCCATTCTGTCCTAACTCTTCAAGCCCAGACAGTCAAAACTCTGAGCGCAGAGGCAGAGGAACAGCAGGAGAAATGTTACCGTGTACCCACAGGGGGAGAGTGACACCAGTTTCCCACCTCCATTCAGCAGTCTAGAACATCAGAGCCCCATCCTCTGAGCTAGGCTGAAAAAAGCCCATGGATTGCACATGATGCCCGTTTCATTCCAAGGCTAGCCAAGTGCTACCTACAGCCTACATCAGCCTGAACTCTCCCTCAGGGAAGCCACAGGCAACACTTACATGATCATTCACTCTCTCCAATGGCCACTGCAGTTCAAGTTTTCCTGACCACGAACATGAACAGAGTCCCACCCTCCCCCTAAACCTGTCTCTCCTACTGCTCTCCCTTGAGACATCAGAAACACGCATTCTGCAGTTCTAGAAGCTGAAGCAAGAAGAACATGGCAACCTCGACACCCTCCCCAGCCCCACTCAGCCTGGCCTACATCACAACAAAGAGTCCCATTGGGGAACCAGATCGTGGCTGAACACACACTTCCGCAGCTCTAACAGGAAGGAAAGACGGTCACAACTTATTTACAAAATGGACCATGGCATTTAGAATCCTCGTGGAGCAGGGGAATTGCAAGTAGCCCATATCAAAGGTGCTAAGCACCCCGTGGAAACCATCCTCCATGTGGTGCCATGTCACCGGGACTCCCAAGTCCTCCAACCGCTTCTTGAACAACAGTGAATGGTCCCGGAGAAGGTCATACTCACAGCTCACAATGCACGCCTCGGGGAGCTGAGACATGACTTCATCTTCTGCGATCAGGGGTGAGTTCATCAAATCCAGAGCGAGGTTTGTCTCCAGGTAGGCAGCCTCGTTTAGGGGCTCACGGGGCATCGGCCGGTAGCTTTTCTTCTTAAACCTCTCCGGGATGTTTTCTGCACCCAACCACTTTCTGTACTTTTCCCAGACTTCAGCAGGCAAATGGGCACCTTTCATGATGGTGCTTTTCCAGGAGGGGTTGATGTCCAGGTAACAACTCCAACAGTAGAAGGCAAAATTCCAATTGAGCAGTGGGATATTCCTGTTCTGCTGAAAAGAAGGGGATTGAAAATCCACAGCTTGGAGGATGGCGTAGACCAGGATCTGAGCACGGATCTTGGGGAGCTCTGGACAGTCCAAAAGTTTTTGACAAACTATCGTGGCCATTCCCCCTCCCACACTGTCACCACAGACCACGACCCGATCTGGATCCACCCCATACACATTCAGGGACTTCAAGAAGTGGATGGTGGCCGCAATACAGTCTCGTGCCGCCACCGGGAATTTATGCTGGGGCAGGCGGCGGTATCTAAAAAAGAACCAAGGAACACGGTTTACGCTCATCGCCCTCGGAGAGCCAACAATATGTGTCTAGCGTCCCTTAGGCCAAATTTCATCCATTAGCCTCTCTTTCTGAAGCCCAAGAAAGTGAACTCATGGTATGAGGCTTCCATGAGGTGATAGGCATGAAGCCTGGCACACAGGCTCCGTGAGTGGCGGTTGCTGTTCCCTCCATCTAAATGACCCTTTGGGAGACAGGCTGTGACCACGAGAGCCCTGTCATCTGCCTATGGGTCAACAACTTAGCAATCACCAACATGAACCCCATCTTTCTGAACCTACCCATGGGTCCTTCCCTGGCTCACAGCTGTCCCCTTTTCTTATGATTCTTGTATGAGCAACTCCAGATTTGCCTGGGTTTCAATTCCAATTAACCCTGCCATGCTTGCAGGTTTTGTGGGAGGATCTTGCAGACATAAATACCACCAGGGGCCAGCAGTTAACGTACGGTCTCCTCCAGATCACCCACGTCCACTCTGGACCACTGCTGTCCTAAAGGTGCGCCATGCACTACTGCCATGGAGGTCAGCAGCGTGGCATGCTAGACCTCCCGGTTTCTCAAGAGATTCCAGAAATCTGGGTGTTGTGAGAAATGTTACCATTTTAAATGCTGGTCTCAAATTTAAAAAAGAAAGAAAAGGGGCGCCTGGGTGGCACAGTCGGTTAAGCGTCCGACTTCAGCCAGGTCACGATCTCGCGGTCCGTGAGTTCGAGCCCCGCGTCGGGCTCTGGGCTGATGGCTCAGAGCCTGGAGCCTGTTTCCGATTCTGTGTCTCCCTCTCTCTCTGCCCCTCCCCCGTTCATGCTCTGTCTCTGTCCCAAAAATAAATAAACGTTGAAAAAAAAATTAAAAAAAAAAAAAAAAGAAAGAAAGAAAAAAAAATACTCTGTGGGACCCACGAACTTTTGCCAACCATTCCCATCACGATGCCTCCTCTTTTAAGCCACCCTGAGTTCATGCCAGGACAGCAATGTTTCTACTCTAAAGCCTCATCTATTTGGATTCATAAAATAATTCTGTTGCAGAGATTTGCTGGCATACTATAGTGACCAGAGTTGTAAGGCATATCATGGCCAACACTTGGATCAAGACGTCTACCCCACTGCAGATACGGTTTGGGAGCTGAGAATTGTAAAGTGAGTGGTTTCTCTGGGGTCCTCTGCGTCATCCAGGACCAATTTCTGTATCTTTCACTCTAACTCAACCAGCTGTGCCACACGGAAGCTGGGAAATGTATTCCCACCAAGACATTGGCATTGGTACTGCTCTATGGAATGTGCATTTATTAAAAATTTTTAGGAGCAGGAGTGGGGAGGGGCAGAGAGAGAGGAAGACACAGAATCCAAAGCAGGCTCCAGGCTCAGAGCTGTCAGCACAGAGCCCGACGTGAGATCATGACCTGAGCTGAAGTCAGATGCTTAACCAACTGAACCATCCAGGCGCCCCTGGAATGCGCATTTAAAATGTTTTTTTTTTTAATTTTTTTTTTTAATGTTTATTTATTTTTGACAGAGAGAGAGACAGAGCATGAGCAGGAGGGGCAGAGAGAGAGGGAGACACAGAATCAGAAGCAGGCTCCAGGCTCTGAGCTGTCAGCACAGAGCCCGACGTGGGGCTCGAATTCACAGACCGCGAGATCATGACCTGAGCCAGTCAGACGCTCAACCGACTGAGCCACCCAGGCACCCCTGGAATGCGCATTTAAATGAAACCGCAGGGAGTGTGTTATGCTAAGTGAAATAAGCCATACAGAGGAAGACAGATACCATATGTTTTCACTCTTATGTGGATCCTGAGAAACTTAACAGAAACCCATGGGGGGAGGGGAAGGGAAAAACAAAAAGAGGTTAGAGTGGGAGAGAGCCAAAGCCTAAGAGACTCTTAAAAACTGAGAACAAACTGAGGGTTGATGGGGAGTAGGAGGGAGGGGAGGGGAGGTGATGGGCATTGAAGAGGGCATCTTTTGGGATGAGCACTGGGTGTTGTATGGAAACTAATTTGACAATAAATTTCATATATTAAATAAATAAATAAATAAATAAACCGCAGGAAAGATTAATCAGGAAGGAACCATCCTGCCCCCATGGGACAAGGTGTCAGGCGGCAGGGGAGGGAGGATGAGGCCACTTGACCACAGTGACCTCTCCTCTTATGTGTCCACTTTGCCAGGGGAGGGGCCACCCCAGGTCTCTCCTGCCCCTGCCCCATGTCTCACCGGGGTGGACCTCCCTCTTGGGAGCACTTGGGACTTCTACGGCAACGGCCGAGGTTGTCTGTTACCGTGCAGGGCACTGTGGCATTTCGCGTAGGAGGGGCTAAGTGTCTGGAACATGCTTCTGTGCCACCAATAGGGCTCATGTTTGCAAAGCCCTGCACTTGATCTACCCAGAGAAGACCACTCCCCACACAGCTTCCAGATGTTACCATGCACAGAACGCCCGAGGGCCACCCACAGGGAGGAGTGCTGTTCTCTGCCTCCCCCTGTCCCTCTCCTCACCGCTGCTCACAGCCCATCATCCCCTGCTCTGGTGTCCCGGTGTCCCTGCATCCCCCTGCCCGCCCCAAGCCGGGCTCTCCACCCCCCCTTATCCAGCACCACCCCTCTGCCTTTTACTCACCCGACTGATAGGACCACTGAGCCACTCTTCTTGGACAGATGACAGCATATGACATGATGGGTTTCTAGAAAATAAAAGGTATTTAACATTCACTAGGAAGATTAGTGGCCTCCTTTGCCAGCCATCACCATGAGCTGCCCCCTTCTCTCTGACAACCACCACAGACAGAGAGCTGGGGCTGATCCTAACAAGGTTTTGCAAACTTTCTTTCCCGCTGTGGAGCAGTCCTTCCTCCCCACCTTCTAGAACTTCTCCTCTGAGATCCCGTCTGAAGAACTTCCTCTAAGATTTCCCCCCATCCCCATTGATTCTGCAATCCATTCAAAATATCTGAGATGCCGTTTGGCCATAGAGCACAGGGGTGCGAGCTCTCGATTCAGACCGGAGCTCACATCCCGACTTTGCCTCCTTTTAGCTTGAGCCGAAGTAGTCTGGGGCAAGTGCCTTCACCTCCCTGAGGCTTGACTGCCACATCGGTAAAATGGGTACGATGATAATAACAGGGTTGTTTTGGGGGGGGGTGGTGGTTAATGAGATAACTATTACATAGAGGGCTTCCACAGTGTCTGCTGTGTAAATATTAATTATTAATAATATTTATCAATGCCTACTGACTGTTACCGCCATCCATTATGCAGACCAAACCAAAACCATGGTCGCATCAAATCCCTTACCCTCAAAAGCTCCCGCAGTGTGCCTCTGACATTCCACAGTTCGGAAGGCAGGGCTGAAACCAAATAAAAGGGTTTTTTCCCTTGAATTCATGGGACACCAGTGCGTGGGGGAGGGGGGGCTAAGATAATAAAACGGTCTCGATTTTGAGTTTTTTCTGTCATTGATTTTCCTCAAATTGTTGGTTCTCCTGTCTGTACCAGAATTTGTCTCAGACGATAGCTGGTATGAAACAAAAGGACATGTGTTCAGCTATTTCCACTTTAAAAAAAATCCTATTTCCAACTGAATAGAGGTGCTGGTTGTAGAACACTATGAACGTACTAAACACCACTGAATTGTACACTTTAAAGTGGTTAATTTGGGGGCGCCTGGGTGGCTCAGTCAGTTAAGCATCCAGCTTTGGCTCAGGTCATGATCTCACAGTTCACTGAGTTTGAGCCCACATGGGGTGAGTTCGTTGAGCCTCACTTTGAGCTCCACACTTAGGACTCACTCTCTCTCTCTCTCTCTCTCTCTCTCTCTCCCTCTTTCCTTCTGCCTTTCTCTCGCTTGGGACCTCTATCAAAATAAATAAATAAATAAAAATAAATAATTGGGGTGCCTGGGTGGCTCAGTCGATTGAGCGTCCGACCTCTGCTCAGGTCATGATCTTGCAGTTCGTGAGTTCGAGCCCCGTGTCAGGCTCTGTGCTGACAGCTCAGAGCCTGGAGCCTGCTTCAAGTTCTGTTTCTCCCTCTCTCCGCCCCTCCCTCATTCACACTCTTTCTCTCAAAAATAAATAAGCATTAAGAAAAAAAGTGGTTAATTTTATGTTGTGTGAATTTCATATATATATATATATGGATATATATATATGGATATAAACATATCCATAGATACGCACATATACACATACATATACATATATGTGTATATATGAATATATGAATGTAAATAGAGCATATATGTGAATATATATTTATATAGCATGTGTATATATGAATATATACACATGTGTGTATATATGAATATATGAATGTAAATAGAGCATATATATGAATATATACATTTATATAGCATATGAATATATGAATATATATGTTGCATATATAGGTCTCCTTAGTTCCAGAAAGAGATCAGTACCTTCCATATCTCTGCCACCTGGATGATCTGGGACCCGCTAACCGTCCGGGTCCTACAGTGGCTTATAGACTGGGGTGCCACCTCTTGCTGGAAGGTGGGTGGCACCCAGCTCTGCTCTGGGACTGTCATACTATGGGTGGGGTCTGAGGGAAAGACTCTTACTCAGGCTCCCCAGGACCCCCCCGCCGCCGTGGTAGAACACGATGCCAGGCCTGGGGATGCAGGAAAACACTTTGGGCTGGTACAGCTTCACAGGGATTGTCCCGTAGCGGAGGTCTGTGACCACGACATCCGGATCCTCCTTCAGTGGCCTCAGATCATGCATGAAACGGACAAATCGGGGCATAGAACAGATTCTCAGTTTCTCAAAAATCATCCCCTGTTGGTGAGAGAGGAGGAAATGAGGCCGGAAGGATTTCAGTCTGTGCTGCGCTCGGGTGCAGCCGCCACCCGTGCCCCCAGCGGAGTGGCTGGAGGGCAGGCTGGACCACGTGTCCACGTGCGCCCTTGCGACACTGTAGTAAGCCCACCCCACCTTGGCCCACACTGCCCCCTCATCCTCTTTCCCCAGACAACTGACACCCAGTCCCACAACCCGAGCTTCTGGCCACCCCGTGAGGGTCCCTCTCCCCCAGAACACCCCCAACCGTGGCCTGGACGTGACCTCTCTTCCCGGGGCAGGCCCTCCTGGACCAGCCCAGCCAATGCAGTCGTCCCAAGCATTAGTTGCTAGTTTTAAGACGTGATAACTACACTGTGGTTATGTTTTTTTAAAAGGTGAGGGCGTTCTGGTCTGGCAGAGATAATGACTGAAACCTTTTGGATAAAATAATATGATGTCTGAGGTCCACTTCCTGAGAAATGAGAAGGGGGAAAAGGTGGGGGCTCCGGTGAAACAAGATTGGCCAGGAGTCAGCAATCAGTACTGGGGGGAGGGTACATGGGGCATCCTCATAGTTTTCTGTCTCCTTTGGTGCATATCTGAAAGTTTGCATGATAACAAAATAAAAGTAAACAAAGTCGTCTCTCACCCAGGCACCGTCTTTCTAGTGGTTCCTAACCCTTTCTGCACCAATGCCAGTTTGGCTTTAAGCGATGCCTGTGGACCTCATCACAGAATGTTTTTAACACCTAAAATAAAATATGTGGGATTATATACGAGCACACAACAGCGAGATCTAGCGGCTGGTTTAATATCATTATTACTTCGAAGAAATGAGGCATCCGTGCAATTTTTCACCATATCTGCAATGGCTGTAATACGCTCTGGAAATACGCGGGATTCCTCTTGGTGACAAAGTCCCAGGTTGTGCTGTCACAACTGTGGTTTGTCCCCTTCATTCTTCATGGAAGGGAATCCCGCATTTCCTTTAGAGGTGAGTGAAAATGGAGCGTTTTTTTTTTTACCCCACCCACTTTCACGGACCCCTTGTCTTCTGTCCCCTTGGGGATTCAGAGAACCCCGGATGAAGAAGCCCTCTTTCACTTTGCTGGAAGGACTCGCCGCACTGTAAATGGATTGGTTTATAGTGGTTTTGCCTGATTCTTCTCTGTCTCCCCACCAACACTGCCATGAGACTATAAGCTCCCTGAAGGCAGACTCTATCTGGGACTTTATTTCTCTTGCCCCTCATTGATCCCAGAGCCACAACTGGTGGACGACACATCGTAGTTACATGACACATCTTTGTGAAAACAAAAAAAACAAAACCAAAACAAACAAACAAAAAAAAAGCAAGTCAACAAACAGTAATAAGGCTAATACGTATTGAGGGTTTCCTTTATGCCAGGAATTGTAACCTGCACTCAGGACGGTTTAACTCATCGTAGCCCACAACATGCTATGGAGTCTGGACTACTATTTCCCCCTCTTTTGCAGATGAGGAAACTGAGTCATCGCATTTGGGAGCCCAGACTACAGACTATGAGGGTCAAGGTCAGGAAAGCCAGAGGACAAATCATCAGATCTTGTGAAAGCTGGACATAGGAAGCCTTCAGCCAGTGGGTTCTTCTCCAGGAAGGGGTCTTCATGGGAACAGGTGTTTGCACTTGCTTTTCATTATGTAAGAGAGTTGAGAAAGCCTCAGCCTCGGGGCGGGGGGGGGGGGGGGTGAGATGGTGGAGCTGTAGGGGGGCCCTAGGCTTGCCTCATCCCTCAAACACAGCTAGATAATGTCAAATCACCCAGGAAAATTGATCTGAGGACTCACAGAACAAACTGCGCAACAAGGAGAAAAAGAGGCCACATCGTGGAAGGTAGGAAGGTGCAGAGATGTGATTTGGGGAAGAAAAGAATTGTAGGTGCTGCAGAGGGAAGGGAGCCTTGATCATGGAGAGAGGACAGAGATTGAGAGACAGAGAAAGAGGGGGAGAGAGAGAGAGCAGGGCCCAGGGGACTACATAAGAAAAACATTTGCCCAAACCATTGACGGGGAAATCAAGAGGGGCCGAACATTGCAAGTTGCACAAGCAGGGGGACCCAAAGAAGGCAAAGAAGTCAGAGGCGTGGCCTGGTGGGCTTAGCGGTGCTTCAGGGAAGGAGGGAGGAGGCCCAGGAGTGGGCAGTGTGGTCTGAGGATCCCCTGGGTCACACTGGGAGACACAGTTTTCCTGCTTGGAGTGCATCTGGGAGAGGTGGCACAGCCTCTCAGGGGACAAAAGAGCCCCAGGCGCCCACATGCTGCCCTGTTCACAAGCATCACAAGCAAAGGAACAGAGACAGAGGGCAGCAAACCTTGGCGTCGGCTTTTTGCTGCGCTTTACCACAAACTCCGAGCCCTGCGCAGTCATGCGACTGCCCTTCTGGCACAAACAGGCACCGGCCACAGCACAGTGAGACCCTACCCCAGAGGATCAGCATGGGTCCGTGCCACACTGGGTTCCTGAATTTGGAGTTGTGAAACACAGCCGGGTACCTGAGATAAAACACAAGAGTACTGTGCCACCAGGCAGCAGAAATCCAGGACACAGAGGGAGGCAGGGGCATCTGAGGGACACCTGGGACACACAAGGGAGATTTTTCACTCTTCTGTGAGGGCTTCCTGAGCAGCAGCAGGGGAGAACTCCCTGCTCCAGGTGAGAGAGAGAGAGAGAGAGAGAGAGAGAGAGAGAGAGAGAGAGAGAAAGGACTGACATCATTCCCCAGCCCATCACACTGCCAGACTTTAGTGGGCAGCACAGCATCACCCAGGGGAAGCTGAAGCCCCTTACTCCAAGCCCCTCCCCCCTGCGCCTTGCAGGTGCTTCTGAACTAGGGCAAGTCCCCCTGAGAGCTACCGCAGCAGGCCCCTCCCCCAGAAGACCAGTGCAACTCCCCCCCAACACACACACACACACACACACACACACATACACCAGGTCTACTGATCACAGAATGCAGCTCTAGGGGAAATAGGATCCAGCTTCTTTTAACAAGCAGACTAAAACACTCCTAGTTAAAGCTCGCCACACACTAGACAAGGTCCAAACACCCCACTGCAGGCAAGGAGAAGTTCTGCAGAGGATTGACCTGAGGGAAAGAGCAGCCAAAACACAGCAGCAGAGTGCACACGGCATACACCAGAGACCCTTCCTGAAGCACCAGGCCCTGACCAGTATATGAGGTCTTCTTAATATAGCCATTACTCTCGAGACGCCTGGCTGGCTCTGACAGTTAAGCGTCTGACTCTTGATTTCAGCGCAGGTCACAACCTCGAGCTTCGTGAGATCGAGCCCTGTGTCAGGCTCTATGCTGATGGCACAGAACTTGCTTGGGATTCCCCCTCTCTCTCCCTCTCACCCTCTGCCCCGCTCGTTCTCTCGCTCTCTCTCAAAATAAATAAATGAACATTATAGCCATAACTCTCAGGAGCAGGAAACAGAACAGGCTTTCCTAACACACAGAAGACACAGACGTAAACAAAATGCCAAGACAGAGGAATGCATCCCAAAAGAAAGAACAAAAAGGGGTCACAGCCAGGGATCTAATCGAAACAGATATAAGTAATACCCTGACCTAGAATTTAGAACAACAATCATGAGGATACTAGCTGAGCTTGAGGAAAGCAAAGAAGACACCAGGGAGTCCCTTCTGTTGCATAAGAGACTTAACTGTGTTTTCTGTATTCAATCTGTCAGCCCTCTGGAAAAGCACAACCAGTGCCCATTGGCAACTTTGACACAATTCTCCCCATGATCTATTTGTATCTATTCTATTAAATTCACACACCAGTAGCAATGAGCAGAATCTGACTATATGACATAAACAGTTTTCCATCTCTCAATAGTAAAAAGATTGTGTGTGTGTGTGTGTGTGTGTGTGTGTGTGTGTGTGTGTATCTAAAGCTACATTCTGAAGTTTTGCTCATTTGTACTAATTTACTAATTGGCTGCATGTGTCTTTGTTGTTGGCTGGTTCTAGCTAGGCAGGTGGTAATGGGGGCTCAAAATCCGGAGTAACTCATTCTTGTCTTCACAGCTTCATAGTGTGTGCTGTGAAGACAGTAAGACAGGAGCAGGGAGGGTGGGACTGGAATTGACCTTTCTTTCCTGTTAACCGAGGAAGTAAATCTTTTTTCATTTTCTGGCTCTGAGCCCAGTACAGCTTGAGCAACACTAGTTGCTCTTAGTTAATAGGTTCCCTAACAGGGATCATTCAGATGTGAGAATAAAATGCAGCCAGCCTGTCTCTGCTGCTGCGTCAATGCAACTAGAATCTTCTCATGTGTTTTCCCAACCTCCTCCTTGAACCCTCAGGCGGAGAGGAAAAATCAAACACGGAACTCACCCATCTCAACAACAGCAGGAAAATGCAATCCAGGACCCGCAGTTTCACCGGGTGGCCGATGGCTGCAGGGATGTCCGCAGTAAGGAAATGGCTGCAGATTACCCACAGACCAACCCCTAAGAACGCACAGGCTGCCATGGGAAGGGGCAGGAGCAGGACTGCCATCATGCTGTTTTTCAGCACAGAGGAGGCTAACAGAAGAGACTGTTCAGTGCCAGACACGGTCAGGAGTCAGCAGCCCTCCTCCACTTATACACCACAACCTGCCCTCCCCACCTCCCCATCTCCACAGCATTGGCCCAGCCCAGGTGAGTCACAGACTCAGGTGAGGACATAATTCTAGGGCAGGGCCCATGCAGAGGAGAAAGTGGTTCATGCAGCCTGACTCAGATGGAAATGAGGGCTCCAAAGTTCCAGCTACACCCTGGAGCACTGCTACGTGAAATGGCCTTGGAGGAGCACCTGGGTGGCTTAGTTGGTTAAGTGCCCACCTCTTGGTTTCGGCTCCGGTCATGATCTCACAGTCTGTGAGTTCCAGCCCCGCGTCAGGCTCCGTGTTGCCACTGCGGAGCCTGCTTGGGATTCTCTCTCTCTCCCTCGGACCCTCACGCACTCTCTCTCTCAAAATAAATAAATAAACTTAAAAAAAAAAAAAAGAAATGGCCTTGGAGAAGTCACCATGGATGTCACAAACACCATTCCCTCCACCTGTGCTCTGGTGGCACTCACCCCCTAATTACACTCTGGCCATGCTCGCTGTTCCTTAGTCTGCCAAGGAGGTCCCAGGGTGTTTGTACTTGTGGTTCTCTGTGCAACAGTGTTCCCCAAGATAATGGTTGAGCTCAACTCCTCCCCTACTGCAGGTCTCTGTTCAAATGTCACCTTCTGAGTGAGGCTGTTCCTGGACACCTTATTTAAAGGTATAACTCCCCACCAGCATCCCTATGCCCATCCCACCCTCCACTTCTTCATGGCCTTTATTATCAGCTGAAATATCGCATACTTCACTTGTTTGTTTATTGTCTGTGGAGTGGCACCTCTGTGGGGACAAGAATTTTTGCTTTGTTCCTTGCTTTATCCTCAGAGGTTAGGTCAGGGTTTGGTACTTAGCAGGTGCTCAGCAAATGTCTACCAAATGAAGCAATGAATGAACAAGCTTTGTCCTTTTCATTGTAAAGCAGGAAAATTCGAGCTTACCTGCCTTTTCAGGTTAGGTCAGAGATCGATGTCACTGTTCAAAATCTTCCCTAATGACAAGTCCCACATCTGCAGTAATAACGATGACGGCTGCCTTCTCTTCCACCTCCCCACCATGGTGTCAGAGCACAGGGAGATCCTACCCGCCCGGGAGAGAACTGGCAATGTCTAGAGACATTTTTGGTTGTCACAACAAAATGGGCAGGGTGGGGGCTGATACTGGCATCGCAGGGGTATGTTCCAGAGATGTTGCTTAACATCCGGCAATGCACAGATGGCCCCGACAGCGAGGAGGTACCTGGTCCAACAGGCTGGTAGTGCCCAGGATGAAAAACCCTGAGCTAGTAAGACTTGGATTTGAATCCTGGCTCTGCCTCATCCAGCATTCTCATCGTGAGCGAGTTACAATACACTCTCTGAGCCTCAGCTTCCAAGACTGTAAGATGGGGGTAATAATAGTAACTCCATTAGCTTTCAGTGTGCATTTCTTTGAATCCAATGCAGTAGAACATTCTTTCATATTTTATCCGTTATTTGAGGTTTTTCCTTTACGGATTCATGTGAATTTATTTTGTGTCTTCATACTCTGTATCTAAAATTTTCTATTTTCGTTTATCTTTTTGCACTGACTTGAAAAGATATTTGTAGTAATAACATTGGTGACAGACGGTGACCACACGTATTGTGGTGAGCACTTAGTAATGTATAGAATTGCTGAGTCAGTATGCTGCGCATCTGAATCTAATATCACACTGTATGGAGTGTATACTTCCATAAAAAATGTTTTAAATATTTTTAAGGATTATTTTCTAGTTATTTGCTTTTTTAACTTTGTTAGTGTCGTTTTTCTGCATTGACGTTTGTAATTTTTACACAATGAAATCTCTCATCTGTTCTCTTATTATGCTTAGAAAGATCTTTTTTACAGTACATGAAACTATATGGCAATGATTTTGAAAATGAAGATTTTCGGGGCGCCTGGGTGGCGCAGTCGGTTAAGCGTCCGACTTCAGCCAGGTCACGATCTCGCGGTCCGGGAGTTCGAGCCCCGCGTCGGGCTCTGGGCTGATGGCTCAGAGCCTGGAGCCTGTTTCCGATTCTGTGTCTCCCTCTCTCTCTGCCCCTCCCCTGTTCATGCTCTGTCTCTCTCTGTCCCAAAAATAAATAAACATCGAAAAAAAAAATTAAAAAAAAAAAAGAAAATGAAGATTTTCTTTGTCAAAATATAAATATCTGGGGGCTCCTGGGTGGTTCAGTCGCTTCAGCATCTGCCTCATGATTTCAGCTCAGGTCATGATCTCACTGGTTCATGGGATGGGGCCTCACGTCAGGCTCTCTTTGCCCCTCCCTTACTCACACATGTGCTCTCTTGCTCTCAGAATAAATAAGTAAACTTAAAAAATATATATGAATTTCACCCAAGAAATAGAAAATACGCATAGATCAATTACTATGAGAAGGATTAGAGTCTGTTACCACTGAGGTTTATAAACACTTAACCCAGAAATTATGCAAAAGCACAGGGAGAATGAGGGAATGCCTACATAGAAGCACCGAACCATTTTTTATTTCCTGGTTATATTACTTAGGATCAGTAATTCTAGCTACTATAACAAAAGATTTTGGTAGAATAAAGACTAATTTTCCCCTCCCAACACAGACACTGGCGTGTTTGATGAACATCCGCACCACTTGGTGATTACAGGATCCATGTTTCTTTCCGTCTGATGTTCTGCCATCTTCCAGGACCTCCGCCGATCCTCCGTGCCTTGCCAGGAGCCCCAGGAATGATATGCTCGTGGAAGAACCCGTGGAGGAGAACTTAAGGGCCAGGCCTGGAAATACATCCCGTTGGCCGGAACACATTCACATGGCTTCACCGAAATGCATGGGACTCTGGGGGGGGGGGGGGGCAAACCTTCCATCTACCTAAGGATGAAAATGAAATGGAGTTTGGCGGATTCATAGGATCGTTCTGCCACGCAGCCTTTCGTCCAACAAGCAAGAGGAGATTTAATACAGGGAATTCAAAACACTGTGGGCAGGGTGGAGGGAGGGCAGGCTTTCACTAAACAGCACCCCAGGCGTCACAAGAAACCACGCTGCTGACTGATCTCTGGAACAGGAAGAGGGCTGACTCGCCAGGGGACACCGGGAGGCGCGTGCAAAACGTGGAGGCTTCCACCGGCTGGTGCTCACGTGCGCATGCTCGGCGCTGCCCAGGAAGAATGGCTTCCGCTTCTAGCTGCCTTCCAGAGCTTCCAGGACGGATGTTCCT